GTGTTTAAGTGTGGGGGTTTGCCTGAGACGGGAAAAAGTTTAAGTGTAGGGGGGTGACCATCTGATTCCTTTCTGCTATGTGTTTTGACTGTATATAAAAAAATCAAAAAAAAAGAAAGAGAAAAAAGCAAAAAGAAAAATATATATGTGTTTATTTCTATCTTTTGATTAACTTTATTTTATTTTCTTAGTGTAGCTTTTAACTTTTACTCTAGTAGATTTCTGGGTGTTTAATCTTCTTTTTCATATTTCATCCATACCTTCACCTCAGCCTCATTACAACCCTGCATAAAGCTCTCCTGATTTGCGCATGCATATGTTAGTAGCAGTGGAGAAGTAGAATTTGAGCAAGCCTATGGTAGAATGATTTTCTTGAGTAGATTTGAGTGATACATTGTTTACCTGATACACTTGAGAGAAAAATATTGGGAGCATCCTGTAAGAAACCATTTTCGGCAATTGGCATGTACAATTGAAATTAGCAGGTCTTGTGATTTGAGATTAGGGGATTTCTGTCCTGATTGGTTTATCTGTTGAAGACTTGTGATCTTTGTATATTTTCTGTATGCTTGATAATTGTTAGAAGGGATTGGTTGATCTTAGTCTTTGCTTTCTGTTTTAGGTTTTGCCCAGGAGTGCAAAAAGATAAGTGTGGGGGAATTTGATAACACATAATTTGTACACTTATTTATTACTCTTGGTTGGTATTTTTAGGATTTATTTGAGTTAAATAAAGGTCTTTTGGGTCAAATCAGAATTCTAGATTTTAATTGGATTTAACTGTTTTCGTCAGAATTTTTCAGATTTACACTACTTTCATATTTTGGCCATATCTCACTCTACAGATGTCCGATTCACTCCGCTCTTAATGTGTTTTGCAGCTAACAGAAAGGGCTACTCTCTCTATTTCAGCCACTGAAGCCCAATTCAGACGAAAAAATGGTAGAAAGCTAATCCCAAGATGGACGTGTTTGGTTGAAAATTTATTTTGACGTTTGGACTTGTTAATTAAATTAGAACCCAATGTTTTAGGGCCCACGACCATGTTTTAATGTTTTATTTTATTTTGGGTCGGATTTGTAGATACCGAAGCCCAGCTTGATTAGGGGTTAAAAGGGCGAGAATAGGGACCTTGTGGATCATCTTTTCGTTTGAAATTTGAATTTTACAATTTTGAAATTAATAGAATTTTTTTCTTTTCCCTCTCCTCTTTTCTTTAATCAACCCAAGGATTGAGGATTCCATGGTTGAATCCTGAGGACCTGCGCCTCATTTTGAACTAAATTTGTTTCTCTTTCGAACTCGATCTGGCATCGCGTGATTGTGGGTGTTCAATCTGAGATACACGATTGCGTTCTTAGGAAAGAGATTAACCATTAGATTTAATGGTTAGGTAGATTAACCCAATGAAGTCAAGTCGAACGGTTGATACTCCGCGATTGCACGAGTAGATGCGTCATATTCGACCAAACGCTAGGCGATTGTCTAGAGAGGGGTTTCTAAGAGAATGCAGGGATTCTAATTCGATTAGGATCAACCACGATTTGGTAATCAATCCTAATTCTTTGGTTGGTTGCTTTTAATTTGATTCTTCATTTTTTTTTATTTCCGCTTATATTGACAATCATATTAAGGGCCCATTTGGATGAGCTTTTGAAAAAAGGAACTTTTTATGAGTTGCTTTTTTTAAAAGAACTTTTTTAAAAAGTTAAAGTTATTTTGTGTTTGGATGTAATATTTGAAATGTACTTTTAAATAAAAATATCATTTGGATATTAAAATAAAAAAGTACTTCTTCAATATAAAATTATTGTTATGCCCTTCTTTTGTTCTGTTTTTTTTACCCTCTTCTCCTTTTCATCCTGCTATATCGTGTTCTTTTTCATCTTGTATCTGGTTCTGGTTTCTATTTCTTTTTCATGCTTCAATTTTTCTGGTGGAATTTAAGAATCTCGCCACATGTTTCTTTTTTAGGATGTGAGATTCATAGTTACTCATGGTTTCTTTTTCAACGTTATTTGATAAATTCTGCTCAACTTTGAACTCCAAACCCCAGCAGGCTAAAAGTTTTATAGATCAAAATCACCCTCTTGTGGATGCATGTGAACTGCCATTGATGGACCTTAACGGTCTAAAAAGTTCTAATGAAAGTGAAAGACTAGCAATATGCAGGGCAACATCAGAATGGGGATTACCCTTTTCAATTTTCAATACTTAGCAACTTCTTCGTATATCTCTCTCCCTCGAGTCTCGCCAAAAACCCAACCATGGTATACCTCTCTTCTCTTTCATCGATCTAAGCCATCTCAAATCTCTCTCTTTTTTCATCCTCAACCTTGGAGGTTTGCTGCTCCAGCTGAGACAGAATACTCGAAGGGAGAGATGGGTCAAATTTTAGCTTTTTGCTTCTCCTTCTTTTAAAAGCTAAAAATTTAGCTTTTCTGAAAAGCAAGATTTCTCATTTTTTGTTGGCTTCTGCTTTTATTGAAAGCACTCATCCAAACATAAGTTTTTCTTCTAAAAGAACTTATTTTAAAAATAAAAAAAACAGCTTCTAGGGGAGAAGAAGTCAATCCAAACAAGCACCAAAACCCCCCATTTTAGTTTTCATTTTTCTTTAGTTTCCGTTTCTCTTTAGTTTCTCTTTTTATTTAGTTCGTGTTTTTATTTGGTTTCCATTTTAATGAAAAGAATTATAAGGATACACATACAAATAAACATAGAACCCAATGTGCTATATTTCATGAAGCAAAACTAATTACACGAATAATCGTAAATCAAAAACTAGATCCACATCTAAACACACTATCCGGCTTTAATACCAATTGTAGGCGCAATTCGATCTGTGGAAGCGTTTAGACCATTGCGGTTTGGAATGCAAAGAATCATCATCGTTTTATATTTACCTTTTGGAGCGCAGATCAGAAATGATCCTTCACGATCTGATCTGGTCAATGTCCCAGCACGAACAACCACCTTGTAGATGCTGGCTTTTGTCAAAGTTTTCAAACTATCTCTCAAGAAGGAATAGGGCTGCTGTGTGGGCACTTTCTCTCTATCAAGTAGATGATATTACCACAACCTTAACAACCACAAAGTGAAGACTTGTAGGCTGATGATTTTAATTGTAGAATATATATGTATTTCCAGAAACTCTAGCTCTAAAGTGAATGAACTCTAAATTTTTTGATTTCTTCTTACACATTAAACCTAATTGGACTTTAAAAAAAGAGCAACATCCAATAATTTCTTGGAAAACTAGGATGCAGGGCGGAGCGAAAGCTTCCTTCGTGCTACACTTCCCGGTAACGTAAAGCTAGATTTTTTAAGCTAGATTTTTTAAGCAAGATTTTGAGTCGTTTTCAAAAAATGAAGTGGTGGAAGAGCTGTCAATTTAGAAGCTCCAACTTGCATCGTAATCTTTATCTTTGAAGTTCAACATTTCATTAATATTTTGAAACTTAAGTCTACCCCAAAACCTTGTGTAGCACGCAAGAGAAAAGAGGAAGGGAAGTTGTCCTTGCGTTTGACTTGGACTATTTTTTTGGGTTATACTAAGGAATAATCAAGTTGTTGAGCATTCATGCTTTCAACCATTAGATTAAACCTTTTGAGATGCGTGTCCTTTACTCCTTTTAACCTATGTACATAGTTCACAGCTGCTTGTGACGTGCTCTGTATCCCTCTGCTTCACATAAAAACATCTTCAGGTCGTACGAAACATTGGGTACAATATAACTTAAAAAATTATTAATTATGTATTCTAAAAAATATAATTATAATATTAAAATTAAATTTTTTAGACTCTTCAAGAAATATATCAGCATAGGTGTTATATTTTTATTAGTCGAATGCAGGCACTATGATAGTATATTAGATTTTCCTACTTCATTACACAAGTACTGAAATCTTTTTGGAATAGATTATCTTATATTAAATAAAATATGATACGATTATATAGAAAAATCATTACCATATAAAAATAAATAAATGAAAATAAGAAAGAAAGGAAGAAGATATTAAAATAAATAATTATAAAATTATATCATTGATTTACTTTTATATTATTATTATTATTATTATTATTTTAATATCATGTGTTTTATTTAACAGGAACTATTTCCAATTCCTTTTCTATACACTCTATTTCTCTTTATGTTGCCTAGAATAATAGATAATGATTAGTAATAGTTAGTTAAAGACAGTTATTTCTGTTCTTTCTGTTATTCTTGGTTTATCAACTACTATATATAGCAGTTCTCTTGTATCATTTTATTCAATCAATATACAAAAGTATTCCTTTAGCTTTCTTTACTTTCTTGCTTTCTCTTCACACTGTGTGTGAATCCTTTTCCGCCTTCATAGTCTGATACCTCACATGGTATCAGAGCTACCATCGATCCATGGCGTCACCTCAATCTTCACCAAAGTCCTCTACAAGCAGTGAAAATACAAATACTATAAAGCTAAGACCATACTTTGAATGTCACCCCATTATGGTCAGTACCAACCAGCCCATTCGTCAGGTCTTGCACAAACCTGACCTCGCTGGAAGAATGATGTCATGGGCGATTGAGCTGTCCGAATATCAACTCAAATACGAGCCAAGGACCGCTATCAAAGCTCAAGCCCTGGTAGATTTCATTGCTGAAATGACACATATCGCCAAACTTGATAATCGGATCGCCAAGTCCCCAGCATCAGCAGTATGGAGACTCTACGTCGATGGCTCCTCAAACGCCAAAGGTTCTGGAGCTGGTATGATAGTGGAGAGCCCAGACGGGCTAGCGGTAGAGCACTCCCTGTCCTTCAATTTCAACACCACCAACAACCAAGTAGAATATGAAGCCATGATAGCTGGCCTGCTCCAAGCCAAGGAGTTATGAGCTCAACACCTCAAAGTCCTCAGTGATTCTCAACTAGTAACTTGTCAAATCTCAGGAGAATACCAAGCCAAAGGCCCGTTGATGTGTAAATACCTGGAAAAGGTTCAAGAGATAATGCAAACCTTCGAGGCGGTCGAAGTGGAGCATATTAGGCGATCAGAGAATACCCGGGCTGACATCCTCGCCAAATTAGCCAGCACCAAAAATCTAAGTAACAATCGCTCCGTCATTCAACATAATTTACCTAACCCATGCATCATCATGAGTATTTCAGACGCAGCAGCTGAAATCGCCGAAGAGACATGGACCACACCCATTGTCAATTACTTGTCTGAAGGAGTCCTCCCACCTGACCAGAAGAAAGCTAAGAAAATGGTGCGGAGAAGCGCTCATTTCTGCATGGTACAAGGGCGTTTGTACAAAAGAGGATGGTCAACCCCACTCCTCAAGTGCCTAAACCCCGACGATGTGGAGTACGTCCTAGAAGAAATCCATGAAGGGATTAATGGCCATCACATGGGCAGACACTCACTGGCAAAGAAAGCACTCAGAGATGGATTTTATTGGCAAAGCATAAAATGGGATGCCCACGAACATGTTAAAAAATGTGAAAAGTGCCAAAGGTTCACCGACATACACAAAGCCCCGCCAGAAGAATTGACTTCAATAACGTCTCCCTAGCCTTTCTACAAGTAGAGAAATGACATACTAGGTCCGCTCCCCATGGCGGCTGGCCGAGTCCAATGGCTGATTGTCGCCATTAATTACTTCACCAAATGGTGGAAGCTGAACCTGTTGCTACCATTACCTCCCAATAGGTAAGGAAATTCTTTTGGAGAAACATCATCTACTGTTTCGGCATCCCAGGAGAAGTAATAATAGACAACAGCATCCAATTCACAGCCGCCAAGTTCTGAGAATTATTGGAGAATCTGTAGATCAAACACCATTTCGCCGCAGTGGAATACCCCCAGTCCAACGGACTAGTAGAATCAGCCAATAAAATGCTGGCTCGAGGAATCAAGAAGAAATTAGACTCATATAAAGGCGCGTGGGTAGAAAACTTAGATAATGTCCTCTGGGGTTGCAGGTTAACTACCCAATCCAGCACTAGAGAAATGCCCTTCAGACTGACTTACGACGTTAAAGCTATGATCCCAGTAGAAGTCGGCGAGCCATCCTAGAGGAAGGATTGTTCTCACCCCCGCCAAGCGTTGGATTGGGACGGTTCTCACCCCCAGTCAACATATAAGTTATGGGGCGGTTCTCACCCCTGCCAAGTGTTGGACTGGGATGGTTCTCACCCCCAGCCAACATACAAGTTACGGGATGGTTCTCACCTCCGCCAACCGTTAGACTGGGACGGTTCTCTCCTCCAGCCAACATACAAGTTACGGGACGGTTCTCACCCCCGCTAAACATTGGACTGAGACGGTTCTCACTCCCAGCCAACATACAACCAACATACAAGTTACTAGATGGTCTTCATCCCCGCCAAGCGTTGGACTAGAAAGGTTCTCACCCCCAGCCAACGAACAAGTCACTTGAATGGTTCTTACCCCAAGTTCAACACGCAATAGCATGTGGTGCACAATATTATCAAGAGACAACCCAAGTCATTCAAGGCAAAATTGAAAGAAATTCTTATTAATCCGAAAGAGAAGTACAAGATTATGGTTGACATACCAACCATAAGAAAAAGGAAAAGCAAGAGTAAAACTAAACTATGCTTGGTGATCCAACACAAGGGTCGCCTCTTCCTCAGTTGAAGGAGCTTGTTCGAATGTACCTGCGGCGACGGCATTCCCATCGCCACCTCCCAATCCCTGAGAAGACGAAGTCGTGCTCAGTAACACCGCCAGGAGGGAAGTCCTCCCTCACGTCATCCCCCCGCTCCTCAGTCTTGGGGGCCTCCTCTACCACTACTACCTCCTCGCCTGAGATCCGATGAACCAATTGGTTGCCCTCCACTACATATTCGGGGTTAAGGCAGCAACATCAACCTCAGGATGACGAAGCAAGACTTGGCGAAGGGCGTTGTTGAAAAACTTGTAGAAAACCTGGGCCAAGGCAGCCTCCAGTTCTTTCACTCGTCCAACAGACTGCTCCAAATCCCCTGTGGCGGCCTGCAGATTCCCTTGCACGTTGGCCAACTCGATGGTTAACCTGTCTTTTGCTTGTTGAAGGTTGTTTTTCTCCGCGACGAACTTGTCCAAAGACTTGGAAAAGTTGTCTTTCTCCAGAGTCAGGCGTTTAACATCCTCATTGTCCTTACTCAGTAATTCATTACTATCCCGCAAGGATTTGTTTGCGGTCTGCAAGTCATGTGTAAGAATTAAATTATAAATTTAAATTAATTAAATGTGAAATTAGAAAATAATTCCATGATTGACCCTAATAATTGTGATAAGGCTTAAATAATCATGGTAAGTGATTTTCAATGTTAAAAGTCGCTTTTCTGACGAAAAGTGCAGATACCGGTTCTGTTTCACGGTATAAATGCATACTGATGAAGTATCCCGGAAAATTACGAAAATTGTGTATTTATTACTAGAATCATATATAGGACTAGTATAACAAGTTTGGAGTCAAAATAATGACAATTGGTGTCAGAACTGATACTGGCTACGTAAAAGCGCCTACCGACAAAGTGCTGAGAAAAATAAAATAAAAAAGTAAAAATCTTAGAAAAATGGATAGGTTCAGAATCCAAAGTTTGAGATTAAAAAGATAAGCGTAGCTATTAGTGCTAATACAATGCGATTAATACTTAAGTGGGCTATATAGGGCATGGCACATGATCCTAGGTCAGAATTATTGTTGCTTAACGTGAGTTTTGCTGGACCTTAGCTGCTGCCACCTCTCCCTCACCTTGCCACCTTCATTTCTCCAAAGAAAACCTCCAAACTGACCACTTTTCTCCATTGTTTCTTCTTCAAAACACCATGGTTAAGTGTGGTTGAGACTTGGGTAGGAGAAAGCCTTTGTGTTCTGAGTCTAGGTTGTGTTATGTGAGGTTTTGGGGGCTGAGTAGTGGGTTCTCTTTGTGAAAGCCATTGTCTTGGTATTTAGAGCTTCAAGAAGCTAACTTTGTGGAGAAAGAACCATTCTTGCTCACCATTTTCGTGGCTTTGTAAAGTCAGATTGTTGGGGCTTCATAGAGAGCTCCAAGATCACTTCTAGCTTCTATTTTGAAGCCTTGGGTATGTTCTTTACCTTGATCATGAGTTTTTCCTTTGTAAAGGTTGAGTCTTGGCATTTTAATGAGTTGGTTAAGTAACTAGTATGTACACTGACCTATATATGCCTAAAAATGAATTCTTGGACGTATAACAATGGTAAAAGTTGAACCTTTGAGTGATATCTTCGCGAAAATGCAGAACTACTTTCTGTCGCGAAATATCCGGATATGGGGTTTGTGATATTCGGATATGGATATCCGGATATGGGGTTTGTGATATTCGGATATGGATATCCGGATATGGTATCCGGATATGTCCCCGACAAATATCCGGATATTCTGGGAATTTCGAGACAATGTCTGTTCTATTCATACAAAATTGTAATTGGGGTTTGTGGACCCAAGATTGGCTTAAGGAGAAAAAGCTTTATGCTAAGCCTTCGAAATGTGAGTCTTGGCTCAAGTCAGTGAAGTTCCTTGGGCATGTGATTTCTGCAGAAGGAGTTGCAGTTGACCCGAACAAGATTGAGGTCGTGCTAGATTGGGAGAGGCCCAAGATGGTTACTGAAGTGAGGAGCTTCTTGGGTTTGGCAGGTTATTACATGAGGTTCATTAAGGGATTCTCCATGATGGTTCTACTATTGACTCGCCTTACCCGGAAGGAGACTCCGTTTGTGTGGACTCACGAGTGCGAGGCATGCTTTCAGGAGTTGAAGGAGAGACTGACGACTACAACTGTGTTGGTCCTTCCTGATCCTGTTGAGGAGGTTGAGCTATATTGTGATGCCTCCGAAAAGGGGTTGGGCTGTGTGTTGATGCAGTTGGGCAAAGTGATCGCTTATGCTTCGAGGCAGTTGAAGCCTCATGAGGAGAACTACCCGACTCATGATTTGGAGTTAGCTGCTATTGTTTTTGCTTTCAAGATTTGGAGGTATTATCTCTATGGCATGAAGTTTTTCGTGTTCAGTGACCACACGAATTTGAAGTATCTATTCGATCAGAAGGAGCTGAACATGAGACAGAGGAGATGGATGGAGTTTCTGAAGGACTGACATTAGCTGTCGAACTCGCGCAAATTAATTAAATCAGGTTTATTAATTAATCAACCTGAGTCGTCTCTCAAGGAGTTTGCAATGAACTTAATCACTCAGTTATAAAAATAAAAATAAAATGGAAACCAATTGAAAATGGAAACTAAAATAAAAGAGAAAATAAGGAGAAACGAAAATTAAAGAAAAACGGAAACTAAAATGGGGGGTTTTAATATGATTGTAAATTTAAACGGAAATAAAAAATAAAATAAAAAGAAAGAATAATCAAATTAAAAGCAACCAACCCAAGAATTAGGATTCCAAGGATATCCATCATTGGACAAATAATTACCAAATCGTGATTGATCTCAATTGAATCAGAATCCTTGTTTCTAATTGAGAACCCTCTCTAAGCGATCGCTTAGAGTTTGGTCGAATACGACGCGTCTACTCACGCAATCGCGGAGTATCAACTCGTTCGACTTGAGTTCATTGGGTTAATCAACCTAACCATTAAATCTAATGGTTAATCTCTTTCCTCAGAACGCAATCGCGTAACTCAGACTGAACACCCACAATCGCGCGATGTCAAACCGAGTTGGAAAGAGAAATGAATTTGGTTTAAAATGAGGCGCGGGTCCTCAGGATTCAACCATGGAATCCTCAACCCTTGGGTTGATTAAAGAAAAGAGGAGAGAGAAAAGACGAAAATTCTATTAATTTCAAAACTGTAAAATTCAAATTCAAACGAAAGATATCCACAAGGTCCCTCTCCCTTTTAACCCCTAATCAAGTTGGGCTTCGAGCTCTACAAATCAAACCCAAAATAAAAGGAAACAAAACAGAAATATTGGCTCTGGGCCTCATGTACATTGGGTTCAAAATTATAACTTAAGTTCAAACGTAAAAAAATTTTTCCAGCAAAACACGTCTATCTTGGGCTCAGGTTTCGACCACCTTTCTGTCTGAATTGGGCTTCAGTAGCTGAAATAGCAAATGTATCCCTTCCTGTTAGCTGCAAAACGCAACAAAAACGGAGTTAATCTAATATATGTAGCGTGAGATATGGCCAAAATACGAAAGTAGTATAAATCTGGAAAATTATGACGAAAATCAATTAAACCCAATTAAAATCTAGAATTCTGATTTGACCCAAAAGACCTTTATTTAATTCAAATAAAACCTAAAAATACCAACCAAGAGTAATAAATAAGTGTAACAAAATATGTGTTATCAAATTCCCCCTCACTTATCTTTTTGCACTCCTGGGCAAAAACTAAAATAGAAACCAAACACTAAGATCAACCAATCCCTTCTAACAATTACCAAGTATACAGAAAATATACATAGATCACAAGTATTCAACAGATTAACCAATCAGGACAGAAATTCCCTAATCTCAAATCACAAGACCTGCCAATTTCAACTGTACATGCCAATTATCGAAAATGGTTCCTTATAGGATGCTC